GAGTTCCATGGTCAAAGGCCTACATCAACATAAACTTGCAAATTCGGTAAATCAAAACGTCGGGGCGAAGTGCTTCGCAGTAGCGACTGTCGTTGACATGAGCGATTACATTAAAACCTGTATTGCGCAGAAAGCCAGATAACATTGTATTACATGTGGGAACAAATGATACCAAAAATAGAAAAGCAACGGAAATAATGAACGATATTGACAATTTATGTCAAGAAATCAAGGAAGCTGCCCCTGGTGCTGAATTAATAATCTCAAAATTGATCAACCGAGAAGACAATAAGAATCTAAACAAACAGTGATCGAGGTAATTAAACTCTAGAAGATTACTGTACTGTACTGCAACTAATTTAGGTCTAATTACACATGGTAACATAACGGGCACAACGCTTAATAGGTCTAATTTACATTTAAACAAATATGGATCATCTATTTTTGCAAGGAACATTGTTAGATACAGTATCTACAGCATTTTTAGTTTAAACAGAGTCTCGTTCTTTAGCAGCAGCGATTTAATTATTGAGGATCCGTTCCCTAATGCAAGTAAAAATTTTCCAAATTTAGAGATAGAGGACGAGAATAACATAAATTTTCTACGATCACTAAAAGGATTTAGAGTTGGACATATAAATATTGCTTCACTCGTCAAGCACATTGACGAATTGAAAATATATCTTGAAAAAGAACCATTCGACATTCTTATAGGGGCCGATTACATGGACAACTTTCAACCCCGGGGTTGAACTCAGCCCTGTTAACCGGGTTGAAATTTTTTGCGATTACATGGACGATTTCAACCCCGGGGTTGAAACGCTATACTATACGTTCTCGGCATCGATTCTCGGAAGTAAAAAAGTCTTTATTTTGTTTTCTTGTAATAAATAGTCACTACCACGTATGCTCGAATAACTCATGATAATTTCAGCCCTGGGTTGAAACGATTGAAACGACTGCTACCTGAAGCAGGGTTGAAATTTCAACCCCGGGGTTGAACTCAGTCCTGGGTTGAAAATTTTGTTATGTAATCGCGCGTTTGATTTTGATAGAGTTTTGTATTACAGACAGGGCTGAAATTTCATGAACTGTAACGAAAGTAGACTCGATGAAACGATAAGCACTGATGTTGTCAGCATACCAGGATACGAAATGATTGTTAAAAATCGTAATCGTGTGGGTGGCGGTGTTGCAATTTACTATCGCAGTGTTTTGAATGTTATGAATAGGCAAGATTTAATTCCAGCGAATGTTGAAGCTGTTTGTCTCGAAGTCACTAGGCCAAAATCCAAACCCATTTTAATTACATGTGTTTATAGACCACCAAATTCGCGAATCGAACTCTTAAACGAAATTGAAACACTATGTCAAAATCTTGATATAGTGAACATAAAGAACAGATTATTGTAGGTGATTTTAATTCCGATCTTTTACGAGATAATTTAAATAATCACACAAAAAGATTTAATGAAATCTCAAATTCATTCCAACTAACACAGATGATTGATCATCCTACGCGAATTACAGATAGTACATCGTCTCTTTTGGATGTTGCACTTGTGACTAATCCCGAAAACATTTCACAATCTAGGGTTATGCATGTAGGAATTAGTGACCATAGTTTAATTTATGCCTGCAGAAAACTTTCCTTTAGCTATAGTAAAAACCAATCCAAAGCGATTCGATCAAGAATTATGTGCAAAGAAATTTCAGTCTTGATCTGAGTATCGCTTTGTCAAATATAGATTGGGATATTGACAACCCAAATAGACTCTGGGAGTACTTTAAAACAACATTTAATTTTGTCGCTGATGTTCATGCACCTACTAAAAGCCGTAGAGTGAGAAGTCAAAGAGCATGCACCATGGCTCACAGACAAGATTAAGAAAAACATAAGCCGGAGAGATTTCCTTAACAAAAAAGCTATTCAATCAAATTCAAGTGCATACCACAATGCTTACAAAAGTTTACGAAATAAGATTAATAAACAAATAATATATGCAAAGCGACTTTATTATACCAACTACATTCATAGAAATAAGAATACAAAACAAATGTGGAAAAATATTAATCACTTGATTAATAAAAAATCTAAATCCACAAACATTTCATAATTGCAAATTGACGATCAAGTAGTCATTGAAAGATCGAGCATGTCAAATCTATTTAATGAATATTTTACCGACATTGGACCAACTTTATCAAGCCAAATTCCGGAAACTAATGTCAGTTTTGAAATGTACATCTCGAACTCATTAATAATTCATGAGCAAATTAGCGAATGAACTCACCCTAATTCGTCACATGATTGAGGTTGGATACCGCAAGGAAACACGCTAAAAATCATATACCATCACTGTTGTTAGATGAAAAACGGTTTTCATCTAATAACTGAGATCCTAATTACAAATTCAAGTCAAAACCAGAGCTTCCACTCGGAAGGAAATTTCCTTCCAAAAGGATATTTTAGCATTTGGAAGGAAAAATAAAAGGAAATAAGATTTGGAAGGAAATTGGAAGGAAATTCGGCCATTTTGAAGGAAAAGGGAAGGAAATTTTACAATTTAAACTTTTTCAGTAACTTCTAGTAATTTAATAATGGTTAAACACTTTATTATGAACTTTTGAGTTCAAAAACATTTACAAAAACAATACTTTGGATATTTACATAACCATCAAGGATGAATGGGGGTAATTTGGGACTTAACAGGTCTTCTGTGAATGAGTTGGGTACTTGTACATAAATTTTTCGCTGGTTTTTAATTTTTATAACCCAAAATTAAAAACAAACAGTCGGAAAAAGGGAAACTGTAATTTCTAAACCAAAAAAAGTAATTTATAAATTCATATTTAGTCATTGAGTCGACATCTAGTCAGGCTCATCAAAAGATGAAGCTTCAAGGAGTTTTCAAATGCAAACGGAGTAGAAAGCGTGCAGGAATAGTATCTGGTCCAAAAGCAAATTCATAAAAAAGTCGTTTATTAAGTACTATGTCGTTCGAGAAAACAGACAAAAAATGAGACAAGAACATGTTGTTTCAGGTTATATTAGAGTTTCACTATTTGAATACTGCAGTACACCTTCAATTTACATAGGAATTTATAAAGTACAATACAAAATTTACTATACTATTTTAAACTGAGATTGGAAGGAAAAATGGAAGGAAATTTAGGATTTTGGGAAGGAAATTTTGCGAAAAAAAGGACAAAAACGAGAAATTTTGCTTTGCCAAAGTGGAAGCACTGGTCAAAACACAACAATATACTATAATAATTACTGACGGTCATAATAACCTATTGTTTTCTCTCTGCATTATATCAGCGAATGTCGAGAAGCTAAAATAGCACCCAGCATTATTAAAAATAATGTAGCGTGCACACAGCATTATTAAAAATAAAGCAGCGTGTATCAGTGCACACAAACATTATTCGCAATCCTTCGTCATCCTGACAAGTACACGCGATAACGTGAACATCTCAAGATGAGAAGTTGACAGTGCTAAAGGCCCCTCATACAATATCATCGGGCGCCTGAAGCACTGCCAAGACGGTCGCTGTGAGTCCTTTCAGCTCAACTTTATAGAGAAATAGTTTCGTTTGCGCTTGTGGGATTTTATCCTAGATATACGCATGTGCAGAACACACCATAACTTCTATTCCCGTGTTTATCCAGTTTAATAATGTTTTCGTTCGAGATGTTATGTAAACAACTCGTTTCTCGTGTTTCATCAGGGGACCAAACACTCGAAAACAATAAAACACTCGCGCTTCGCGCTCGTGTTTCATACAGTTTTCTCGTGTTTGGATCCCCTGATGAAACACTCAAACTCGTTGTTTACATATAACATGAAATTTAGTGCTCAAAAGGAGTTTAACTTCTCAGACATTCATTTTCAGGAAGTTCTTAATGAAATTAGTAAATTAAATATATCTAAATCGGTGGGGCCTGACAATATTCCAGCCAAACTTGTAAAGGACTCGAAAGACGTTGTGGCCCTTTTTAACATTGATTGGTAATTATCGACCTATTTCTATACTCTCGATAATTGCAAAACTGTTTAAGAAGCTTGCTTGTTCGCAACTCAATATATTTTTAACCAAAAATAATATTCTGAGTCCATGTCAGTCCGGTTTTCGAAAAGGTCACTCGACCACAACGGCTCTTTTAGAAAATACTGATTCATGGCTACTGAATATGGATGCTAGGATGATAAACTTTAGGTGTCCTTTTCCTTGATCTATGCAAAGCATTTGACACAGTTAATCATAAAATTCTTATTAAAAAATTATTTATTTAAGGAATTCGAAACAAATCCCTAGACTGGTTTAAATCGTATTTGGTCAATAATACAACACCGTACACACAGAAAGTAAGTTGTGGGGTTCCACAAGGATCAAATCTTGCTCCTCTTCTATTTTTGTTATATGTGAACGATCTCCCAAACTGTATGGAGAACTCACATGCGTGAATATTTAAGAGGCAAGATTCAGAAGCTTCAAAACCAAGCTGCACGAGTTATTACTGGCGACCCATATGAAATACGCTCGATTGATATTTTAAAGAAACTAGAATGGAAAACGTTAAGCGAAAGAAGGAAGGAGCAACAACTAAAATATGTATCAAAAGCTCTTACATGCAAATGTCCTAAGATTCCTAAGAACATTTCGGATATGTTTAAATTATCCAACTCTGCAAGATATGAAATACAATTAAGAAGCAATAATAATAAGCTGATGTTGTCGAAGCCAAAAACAAATTCAATGAAACGTAGTTTCGGTTATGCTGCTGCTAAAGTTTGGAACGAAAGAAATGAAAACTCTTGAATTATCTTTTATCTTATTTGGGTGTGATTTGAGTGTGAATATTTTAAATATTTTATAGTTGACTAGCTATCTTGTATAAAGATGTTTTAATAATAATAATAATAATAATAATAATAATAATGAAAACTTTATTGAATTTATGCACTTACAATTGCAAATCTCACTGTTAAAGGTAATTTACAATTGGCTACTTGATACACTATACATTATTACACTACACATGGACATAATTCTATGATACAAAAAGCAAGAGACTAGCTAGAAGTACATTAAGTCTGGATTCGACCAGTCCTTGTTTCTAGAACAGAAAACGTAATATGTCGTTCTTAGTGCAATATTAATGATTTTCCTAATTATATATTTAACACCGGCCTTATCTGAGTTCAAATGTTCCAACATTTGTATAAAAGCTGAAGATTCTTTTTCAAAAACACTCAGTGCACTGATTGATGATAATAATAATGATAATAATAATAACATATCATTCAACGTTAACAGCTAAAAGCCTGATCTTTCCGAATACGAAAAAATCTCGTTTATGAATACGCAGAGTAATTCAGGTACAGTAGCGCGCTGAAGTTCGATTACCTTTTTTTTTATACAACCTGTATCTGGAGCAAGAACGTCAGTTATTCGGCCTACGAGAAAAGTGAAGCCAAGATGCCGGCCATTGACGTTTTTAATAACTATTAATTAAACAGTTGTAATACCAATGTTTTCAGTTAACTCCTGTTTTTAATTCCAAGTGATCGGTGCATAAAACCTTAAATCTATGTGAAAATGAGAAATTTAGGGACACTCCTTGCAGACCGCGTAGTCAAAAATAATAGAAAGGGACTAAACGTCCAATACTCCATCTTTTGCTTCACGTTTTGGACTTGATCTCTCGCTCCAGATATACATGCAGCTCACTGGCAGGAACAAAGAGTATTCGGAATTAGGCCTATAATAAACATGAAAAAATAATACTGATATTCTTACTGTTGGTCCGATCTATTCATTTCAGAACAAGAATTGAATCACGTCCAAGTGAAAGGATCTATACATTTGAGAGAAAAATAGGGAAATATAATACCACTTGTCGTCAAGACGGGTTTATTAGAGACCTTACGATTTAGGACGGCAACGGCTACGAATACAATACATTATTGAAAAGAATTGAATAATTACAATATACGAATAATTTAGTCATTGCCCTCGCTCAGTTTACAACGCTAAATCACATAATTTCACATCTTGATACAACGTATCAAGTGCAACTTCAAACTGAGTTCAGCAGAACTCTTCCTAAACATAAAACCCATGACCATGTCTTCAACTTCTAAGACTGTATTAAATTCATACGTTGATAAAATACCACGAATTATCTTCACTAGTCTAGGACCTGTATATGAGTTTGTATGAGTTTCATTTACCACAGGTAATCTCAACTGTTTTAGGATAAAATGACCATGGCGGTCAACATGGCATATGTGCCAAAAGCTGAATCCGGGACGAAAGTCCTGAAAATGACCCCACCCTGAAACAGCAGTGCCGACATAGCCCTAAGTTCAGAAAACAAAAAGCGATAGTCTTTCTGAAGTCCTTACAGTGCTTAGAAGGGTTGCTTTTAGGGGTGGTCATTGGAAGAAAAAATTTGTCTAAGTATAATATTTTACAAGAAAATGACCATGCACCACCCCAGGGCCCAGGTAAATTGCTAATATTTATGCATAAAATAACTAAAATGCCTGGCAGAAATTAAATATTCTTATTGGAGGTGGAGATGACGGATAAACCGTTGTTAATAAATTGTGAGACGTACCATGACTGGTTTCATGCACTTCTTTTTAACTGTTTGTGATGCATATACATGCAAGTTGACTAAATTACATTTTCTCATTTGCATAATTCGATATAGTCGATATTTTTTTTTCGATATCGATATATCGATTTTTTCAATAACGCAACTGCCTACGCCATACTAATATTTTACTTGGATTAATAGTCGCATATCATATGCATATTAAGTGACATAACGGATATAGAATTTTGTTTACAAAGTTGGCTTGCTATACGATGGCTATAGCACATATTGTGGTGGTCAGTGCATGACCAACAAGTTAATTAACCAATTTTCTTGCAATGCACAGGGGGAGGGGGGGGGGGATCAATTTTGTATGGGGTGACCATAAGCATGCATTGACATCTGGAGTACTTATTTCAGCATTATATAGGTATTACTGGCCCCAGATGAAAAAATCCTACATACGGCCATGAGCATTAGCCTGCATATTCTGCTAATTACTACACAGGAACCCTAGCTAGGAAACTCTCTTAAACCTCTGGAATTGAGGTAGCGTATTCTAATAGTGAAAGCAAATTTACATAGTGTATGCAGTATTTGTAAACATAAATATATAATATCCATCTATAGTTTCACATTCAGGACAAACTTTCAACGCAGTCAAACTACTCAAACACCAAGGGCCATTCCATTTAAAAATTTTAACCCCTAACAAAAAAGATCAAATTGCAGACACACAT